TAGGTACCACTTTGGTGGGAAGGTAACAGCGTTTGGTGCAGTCATGCTAGCCATATGACCATCAGAGCAGTCCTCGGACAGTGCTGGCTCTTTGGCTTAGAAACGGAAATGAGCACTGCCCTCTACAGTCACTTGCAACTAGACATTCATGTCAAGGGACTACCTTTACCTTTACCTTTACAGTGTAATCAATAAACCCTTAGGCAGTGTGATGCAGTGGTTTGAATTTTGGACTAAGACACCGAGAGACCAGGGTTCAAGTCCCAGCTCAGCCATGGAAACCCACTGGGTGACCTTGGGCAAGTCAAACTCTCTCAGTCTCAGAAGATGGCAATGGCAAACCTCCTCTGAAAAAACCTGCCAAAAAACCCACATGAATAGGGTCACCGTAGGGTCGGCATAAGTAGGAAATGACTTGAAAGCTCACAACAACAAACCAAAATACAAAGAATATAGGAAGGCATGAACCAGGACCCACCCATGATAGTTTCCTACTTAAGGCAGAACAGTAAAAATTTCCACCCATACCTGTAAAAAGTAAATGACCAGTATCCAACAGGGGGACTTGGACTGACTTACAGATACACCACACCATTGCCTGTTATTGTAAATTCGCACTCGCAGCAGCTCTCCAGGTTTTTGGTTAGGACTTTTCTTAGCCCCTACTTGGAATCCTTGTTATTCCCCATAGTCTTCCATCCAAGTGCTTACCAGGCCTGGCCTTTTTAGCTTCCAGAACCAAGGTACTTCCAGACTGATTGAAAAGTCCCAGATTTTGTTCCTATCCTTTCTAATTTTTATATTGTGTTACAATAAACTGACTTGGGAAGCTGCTTTTAAAAGTCTGATAGTACCAGGAGTTGACAACAAATATTCTGGGATAAACAAAACATGTATGGGTCACCAAAATAAAATTTGAAAGATCAGAAACAAAACCTGGGACCTTCTGGTCTTTTTAATCAGTCTGGATGCGCCCTCAGAAGCCAGCATGGTATAGAGGTTATTTGTGTTGGACTACAACTCTGGAGGACAGGGTTTGATTCTCAGCTTGGACATGAAATCCACTGGGTAACCTTGGGCAAGTCGCATGCTCTCAGCCTCAGGGGAAGGCAATAGTAAACCTCCTCTAAATAAATCTGCCAAGAAAACCCCATAATATGGCCTTAGGGTCATCATAAATTGGAAATGGCTTGAAGGTACGCAACAGGATGTGCCCTCAGGTGAGATTTGTCATGATCCGGGTGATGTACAATATAGATTTCTGCTGACTTCTGTTATTTCTGCCTCTGCAATCCAGAAAGGTAGTTTCTCCATCCTTCCTTTAGTCCTCAGTGCATAGTAAAAATCTGTCCCAGAGGACTTGAATGCCCTTCAGAGCAATTTTGATGCTACAAAGTGTAGAAGGGAAGGGAAAGAAAGTCCCAGTTCCACTGGCAGATAGAGCATAATGCAATGGCACTACACTGTTCAATCCTGGCTAATATCCATACTGCTCAAGGTTAACCCACTTATTTTGGCACTTGAGGCAGAAAAATTGCACAAGTGCTTTTCACAGGAAGTAGATCATACCTTGTTAGTACCATTGGTTCCCTTTCCATAACGCTCCATGTCGGCTTCCTGAGACAATCAGTCACGCTCTGCCCACTAGCATCACTGGGGGGTGCAGGGGGTGTGGATTGTACCAGAGGACACCCCAGAAGGGGGGTGACACCTGGTTGGTCCCCCGTCCCTTGCGGTGCCTCCGCAGGGCTCTGAGCCACTTCCTGGGGTCCCCCTGGGGCCACACAGCTGCCTCTCCGGTGTGCTCACATGCACTCCCACACAGCGCACACACCAGAAGTCGCACACCAGAAGTTCTGCAGCCCCCAGGAGTCCCGTCCCACTACACCTGGTGTCACCCATTCAGGAAACCCCACTGATTCTGTCTAAATGTAGGGCCAGCCTTGACACTGAATCTAACAATGCAGGGGACAGTGGTGTTACAGAGCATGATCTTGTATTGATCAACACTTCTTGCATAGCAGGGATAATGACATTGCTTGTCACCCCTACTCCTCGGATTTCCCTGTATAGCTTCCAACATTGAATTGATGAAAATTGGGACATCGGTGGCTGAGTAACATCAGAGTATGATCAAGATGGCAAACGTTATTAATGAGAAAGAATACACAAGCTAGGAGATGCTGTAATAATTTGTTTTTGCCTGAGCGTACTGGGAAGGCAAGATTCTTGCCTCTTCCTTTCCTCTGCCTCCCACCGAGTTAACTGTGTACAAACTACTTTTGCAGTTGAAACTCAGTTTACAGCAACTGAAGTAAGTTGAGGATGAAGGGGAAAAGTGGAAGGAGGAGAGAGAAACTGGACATCTTATAAGCAGCTGAAAACTGGACAGCAGAAGATTAATTGGAACTGTCCCTGTCAAATTGGGACAGTTGGAGGGCATGTCTCTGCTCCTTCAATCATCATAGTAGCTGCAGGAAATTACTACACTGGGGCTACATCCACACTGCAGAAATAATCCAGTTTGACAGCACTTTAACTGCCATGGCTCAGTGCTCTGGTGACACAGTGGTTAAATGCCTGTATTGTAGCCACTCACTCACAAACCACAAGGTAGTATGTTCAATACCAACCAGGGGCTCAGGTTCGACTCAGGCTTGCATCCTTCCAAGGTCACAAAAATGAGTGCCCCATTTGATGGGGGCAATTGGCTTACACATTGTAAACTACTTAGAGAGTGCTTAAGTGCACTGATAAGTGGTATAGAAATGTACTTGCTATTGCTAATGCTATAGTGTTCTGGGAATTGTAGTTTGTTGTGGCAACAGGTTCCATAGCACTGAGCCATGACAATGTTAAACTGTATTATTTCTGCAATGTGGATGCAGCCTTAGTTGATTGAAATAAAGTGTTTCTCCCTTGGGCTGGGAAAAGAAACTCCTGGAAAATCTTGAGTGTCCATTTGTGTGTCTGCACACTTATAACACACAGTGAGGGAGATTAATGAACAGGTCAGCTTGCATTTTTGGATTTTCCTTGGAAGTGTGTCCATAGGGTGCATTAGAATGATGGCATGTGCTTCAGAATTTACTATTATGCCAGTGGATGGAAAGAAGAACCATACATTAGGCATCACCACCAGTATTTATTTGAAGGTAAAATTGTTCTGGAAATTTGGTAGCTGCAGATCTCGGCCATGAGAAGAGCTTCAAAATCAATGAGCAGAATGAACAAGAGTCCATAATGGACTTGATGACAATCATCGTGAAGCAAACAATAAAGCACTGCTCAGATCTTCTCTATCTACTCCAGAGAAAACAAACTACAACATAAAGACTTAATGGACTTCTTTACCGCAGCTGCTTGTGTGGAGAAAGATAAAAATGTGAAAAAGCAGAGATCTAGCCCTATATAGCTGATGGAGAAGAATCTGGGACATGTGGCTTCTGGAGAAGTTGTCAGATAACATTAGAGCCTGTAAAGGACAAATAAATCATGACACTTTCATAGAAGAATGGCTACTGTTTATTGAATGCACAAGCAAAGGAACACAACAGTTGCAAATGCCATCACACCATGCTGGATTTTTAATGGACATTTTACAGATCAAAAACTCCTAAGGTTGCCATGGAAATCTTGACATTTCGAGTTACAAGATATGAAAAGATTTAACAAAATGTTAAGTAGGAATGAATCGACATCCGTTGCTTGTTGAGAAGCAATTTTCGTTTTTAGGTTTTGTGTGTGTGGATGTTTTGTGTGTGTGAGATTATTGATGAATTAGACTGTTCATTTATTTAAGTATTAATTTTTAAGTATTACATAAATTAAAAGAAGAAGAATAAAAGAAAAACTGGAAGTTTAATTGGATTCTAGATTCCATGGTCAGTGAGAAGTCTAAGGTAAAGAAAGAGCAGAGAAGGGAGTCCCAAAGTAGCAGCAAACTGACCTTAACCAAATTGAGCCATGGGAATGGCACCGCTCATTTTTGAAACCTAGGGCAGAAGGACACAACTCAAAATTGCTATTGGGCTGACAAATCCTCTCAGCGGTCCCATTAAACAGCAGGACAGGCACTGACTTTCCTGTTGTTTGGCAGAGGAAAGGATATTTGGCAAACCAAGCAACAAACTGATGGGGAGTGGGAACCATGGGGGATGTGGGCAGTGCATATTGGAGTAGGTGTGAAGTTGAAATGTCATTTCCAAGGAAAATCAGGCTGCCAATTTAAATCGCAGCCTGTTCTGGTTGCATGTTAGTTAGTTTGTTCTTTATTATTCATGCCTCAGATCAAGTAAAGGTCCCCATGTTTCCAAACATGTATATGCAAAGGGAGATAAATCCTGGTAGGGCAATCCTTTAGAAATGTGAAATCT